TTGGGACGGCCTCTCCTCCACATCCACTGCCTGATCCACAGTCTGGAGAAGCTCTTCGGCCATCTATTCAACCATTACGCTGGCCCAACCACTGGTCCCGCCTCCTGGAGTGGTGAGGAGGCTCGGAAGCTGACCGGCAACGTGTGGGACCTTCCGGTGGTTGAATTCGAGGCCGTCACCAACACCTACCTCAGGTCTCTCCTGGATGCCATCCCCTCCGTCGTCTGGGAGGAGTTCAGCTGGGACACCCGGTATCTGTTGGAGATGGCCAAGACGGTGGAGTCCGGCCACATTGAGGAGAGATGGGCCAGGGCACGGGCCGGAGCCATGACCAACGCCAGATGGCAAAACACGGAGAGCAGGGAGCTGAGGGCCTACATGAGCACCACCTCCCCCAGCGAGTCACAGAGACGGATGACCTCCTTCATCATCCTTATCTGCGTGCCCTCCTTCCTGGAGATCAGGCAGAGGAATCTGCTACTGGAGGGCCCACGCCACCTCCTCGCCATCATCAACCGGGTGAGGACGTACTGCACCCTGGAGGAAGTGGAGCTGCTTACTCCATACCTCCAGTTCAACGGCTACTTCGGCCAGCACGAGGTGGTGCTGGTCTCACTGCTGGCCTCCATGGACAAGAGTGAGAGGGAGTTGGCCCTAAACATCATCAAGCAGCTGAGGAAGAAGGAAAAAAGGCACAAGAGAAAGACAGTGAGGAAAGTGAGGAACCCTCAACTGAATCTGGCAGCCACCAAGCTGTCAGAGTTGGTTGATCTGCAGAAGGCCAGCTCCTCCCCTCCCATCCTGTTCCAGCACAGTGACCAGGAACTGGAGCAATTTCTGGAGGAACCGTACAGTGAGCCAGGTCTGCCCTGCACCACCACCGCAGTGGAAAGAGGAGTGAAGCTCACCACGGAGGCGGCAGACGTGGCCAGCTCTGCCTGGCAGCAGGACCAGGTCACCTGGAACAAGCTGGAGGCCAGGAAGAGAAACAAGCGGAGGGCTAAGAAAGAGGACTACCAGTGCTAGACTGTGGGGACACTGGGACTGAGGGGACACTGTGGGGACAGCCAATGTTAGTGTGCCAACTGTGCTAGTGTGCTGCTGATAAATTGAAGCATACATGCCAATAATAAAGAATGTCTACCATTATTCTTGTTTTTTTTTATGTCGAACCGAAAAGTATCCACAAACCTTCTAATGCACTGATGTTAAAGATTCAAACATATTCGGAACCAGCGTGGCCGATAGACAAATAATCCAACCCAAGCCACTTGATTTTGAAAACTTTTGCCAAACTGTCACTCCCTACTGTACAGTGTGCTATAGTGACCCCTGTAGTAAGCTGGTCTACTGAAAGCTCACACGAACGCATCTGAGTAAACAACTTTCTGATACAGCTTATCCTTTTATTTTCAAGTCATATTACTAATTACATACAGTATTGTATTTTTCTCTATAACTGAAGATGTGGTGTAGATTAATATAACCTTTCCTTTTATATTTTAAATTTCTTTCTATTCTTATTTTTTCGCCCCCCAGGCCCCGTTGTGGGTCGTTCAACCTGTGCCCGGGTGGGCTAACTCCCGTAAAAAAAAAAATAAAAAAAAAATAAAAAAAAACACTGGGCCAATCATATGAGAGCATAATACTGAATCAATAAATAAATAAACTTGATGAATTTGGCAACACCAGATCAGCCCCAGCTTGCTTACATATACTCATGTGTTTTAGTTCTCAGTAGGCCTATAGCAAATCTGATTAGACCACTGTACAGTATTCAGTAAGTGTTGTTCATTTCATCAGATTTTTTTTATTTAATCTTCCTTTTTTTTCTTTTCTTTTTTTTACCAGATCATCTCAGAGTCCGAAAAAAGTGAATTCCGATTTATGGAGGTTTTGCTGTAACTCGGCATGGATGTGGTCTCGGAATGTATTTTAGTATTATTTAGGAATTTGTTTTTATTTTTATTTATTTTTTTATTTATGGGGATTAGCCCACCCGGGCACAGGCCACTGACCCACATCGGGGCCTGGGAGGCAATAATAATAAAAATAATAATAATAATAATAATAATAATAATAATAATAATAATAATAATAATAATAATAATAATAATAATAATAATTCATCGTAAATAAAATTCATAATAAAAATAATTTTTAAAATAAAATAATAATGATATTAATAATAATAAAACTATTATTATAATAATAATAATAATAATAATAATAATAATAATAATAATAATAATAATAAAGAACCATAAAGAAATACAAAAAAAAAATAATAAAAAGTGAGAAACAATATAAGTATGTTCTGTTTGTAATGATAAGAGAAACAATCGAGACCCTGCAATTGTGTGTAAATGAGGCAGAAAGTCAGATGAGCAACCTGGGACTTGGTCACAATTTTTTTTATGCCATATGGCAGCAGAGTCCACCATTAGACTACATTATGCTTCCAATTTCTTACCAGGCAGTAGTACCTCCCTGTTTGGGAGCTACCTACTACCTATGGAAATGCCGATATATAAAATTATCTGGTAAAATCTTAGCATATCTGGCCACCTGCATCACATACCATACCTCTGTGTCACCTACCATGCCTCTGAGTCACCTACCATGCCTGTGTGTCACCTACCAAGCCTCTGTGTCACCTACCATACCTCTGTGTCACCTATCATACCTCTGCATCACCTACCATGCCTCTGTGCCACCTACCATGCCTCTGTGTCACCTACCATGCCTCAGTGTCACCTACCATACCTCTGTGTCACTTACCATACCTCTGTGTCACCTACCATGCCTCTGCGTCACCTACCATATCTCTGTGTCACCTACCATGCCTGTGTCACCTACCAAGCCTCAATGTGTCACCTACCATACCTCCGTGTCACCTACTATACCTCCGTGTCACCTACCATACCTCCGTGTCACCTACCACGCATCAGTGTCACCTACTATGATGCTTCATTCTTCGCCTGCAGTACTGGTAAGTGTTACTTTTTACATTTAGTAATTACATGTACATTTATATTGATCACTAATTTTTTATTGTTGTATTTTTGTAGGAGGGGGGAAGTGCCTCGATAAGTCGGAATTTGGGATAACTCGGCAAGGCCAGAGCCCCATATGTGCTGAGTTATCGAGGGTTTACTTACTTTTATGTAAGTAACAAAGTCCAGTACGTTTTACACTCTGCAATTACCATTTCTTCTACAAGAATTTTAACTGGGAATAACTTATTAATACACTGTACAGTATAAATACAGTGGTCCCTCGGTTAACGAAATTTCGGTTAACGAATTACCTTCCATAAGAATCTTCAATTCAGTTAACGAACAAAAATTTTATTAACGAAATCCTTAAGAGCAACACGTTTTGTTGTGAGCATCAGCTGATCAGCTGATGGGCTAGTCTGTCAATTCAATCATCTGTTCTATGTTTACATTCGTTTCCAGTGGAGTAAATATCAATAAAGTTGCGCTCTTTAATATTTTTGCATTTTTTATATTAAAATTATTAGTCATTTTAACATTTATTTAGCATATTGATAATATATGCAGTAGAGGGAACTAGTTTTTTGTGCGCCCATCAGCAGCTTGACTCAGCCACCAGGCGTCAGTTGGGTTTTGAAAACAGTGTAGTGAACATTCATTTTGTTGGTGTCTTGAATATTTTTGCATTTTTCAGTGAAATTATTGGTCAATCTGAAATTTAGTTAACATATTGATAATATATAGCACAGTGCAGTGTTGATTTAAAGAAAATAATCTTGAATTACACCTAGTGAACTTAAAATTTTATTGGTGAAATGACTCCATCAAGCATGGGTCAACTGAAAGGTGATTTCTCCTCCATCCCCACTTCCTTCTTTTCTCCCTTCTCCTCCACCCCCACTTCTAATTCCCATCATCATCATCAACCAGGAACCTTCTACATACACACCTCAAAGTAAGTGTACTTTACTGCATTTTTTTTTTTACTTTGTATGTACTTTTCAGTGAACTGGAACCAATTACCCAATATCCCATTGAAACAATGGATTCGGTTAACGAAATTTTCGGTGAACGAACGACCTTCTGGAACGAATTGTGTTCGTTAACCGAGGGACTACTGTATTGAATATGTGAGTAATGCTTTGGCACACAAACCTGTCACATTTGCAGACTGATACTGTATTTTAAATCATGACGCATTAACGTCAATATGTGAAGAGCTTCTATTACAATGTTTAACATAAATACTGTAACGGATATTAAAAAGCAAAAATATATGTACCAATATGAAAGATGAATAATGAGTAGCATATGATATACTGGTAAATATCCTATTTTAGTCTCTCTTCTGTTACAAGATGTGACAATTTTGACTACGTATAACTGTTTTAGTGGGTGTGTGAGAGACTTATTCTTTTCAGATTCATAAAATTCATTGCTTTAGCTTTCAAAACACCACATATACAGTACTGTAATTTATTAATTTGGGTGATTTTTCAGTTTTGGATCCCAGGTTGACATTTTCATAGCATGACCCAGGAGGGGAAAAGGATAGGAGAGTGAAAGCAATAGAGATTGTAAGTCAAGCATCATAGAAAAGATGGGGAATATGAAAGTAAAGTAACTTGGAAGGTCCTTTATAACTGGGCACCACTCAGGATATAGGTCCTTCTAGATGCATTGTATCATCTACTGCCAACATCAGTCAGTTTAGAGAAAGGGAAAGACAAAAGAAGACATTACTTTCTTGGGAAGCATTTAAAACATTTTCTGACCAGATTTTTTCTCTTATTATTCTTCTTCTTGGACAAGGATGCAACAGGTAGCCATGACTTAGTCTTCATACAATTGCCAATCGCACTGGGTATTGAGAGAAAAAAGTGAGATCATTCTCACATGCTGCATCTGTTGTAACATGCCAGCAAAAAATATTTAAAATAAATGAGAATAACATTAAAAAATATCATGCACTACTAGAAAAATATATTCTATAAGCCTTACTCATTCAATTCTGCATCTGTGAGAACATCATTTGTGGACACATTTTCAGTAAACCACTTTAAAAATGCAGCCAATGGGGCACTGTCCTCTGTGAGGTAGAGCCAATCAAAACTTTCACCAACCAGGTGCTCAGCTCCTGGTATCTTCAACACTTGAAAGTGACCAACTAGATTTTCCCCATCCATAATGGCCTGCAAAAAAGAAAATTAAATAAATGTATTATACAAAAGAAACAGCCAAAAGAAGAAATAACTAAACAATGCAATGGTATATATATATATATATATATATATATATATATATATATATATATATATATATATATATATATATATATATATATATATATATATATATATATATATATATATATATATATATATATATACGTATATACTCGTCTATAACCCCCCTTCGTATATAGGTCGACCCCGATTTTATGACCAAGAAATCGTTAATTTATGATATTCCTCGTTTATAGGTCGACCCAAGTTTTTGAGGGTAAAGGAACAACAAAACCTTCAGAAAAACTCTACGTCCTATAAACTTGTTTACCATTTATTATTACGACACTTTACACTGAAACGCGGGTAGTTTCAACAAAAATATTGTATATTTCCATTCAAGTATTTATTCAAGTCAATTAGGAGGGAATATTATTGTAATACAACAGTTTTTTAACTAAACCATTCGAAAAGCGATTACGGTAACATCTTTTGAACGAAAGAAAGCGAGTCATTGTTTTCGTCACGATTTTATCCCACTTTCCACTAATACGTACGTAATTTCAGGAAAAAATATTACATTTCCGTGAATGTAGTATATCAAGCACAGTATGAATAGAATATCATTGTAATATAACAGAATTTTAACCGAAAACTATTAAAAAAACGAATAACATCTCAAGAACATCGGAAGCTTATGTGAAGTCTTTTGTTTTCGTCATGTATTTTATCCTATTTTACATTGAAATACATCACGTTTCAGCAAAACTACTATTTATTTCCGAGAATATATTCATTCAGGCACAGTTTAGGTAAAATATACGTGTGATGTAATAGTTTTTTAACTGAAAACGATTCGAAAAACACGTTCCCTCTAGCCCTGTTCAAGGAGAGGACTGGGAGAAGCTGTTTGGTGCTGCAGACGATGACAAGGAAAATGATTTTGATGGATTTTAATGAAAATATTCAGAAATATGGTATCGTAATATTTATTCAAGTCAATTAGGATATTATTGTAATACAATACATTAGTTTTTTAACTAAACCATTCGAAAAGTGATTACGGTAACATCTTTTGAACGAAACAAAGCGAAAGTCATTGTTTTCATCACAATTTTATCCCACTTTCCACTGTAATACGTATGTCATTTCAGCAAAAAATATTACATTTCCGTGAAGGTATTATATCAACCACAGTATGAATAGAATATCACTAATATAACAGTATTTTAACCGAAAACTATTAAAAATACGAGTAACATCTCTTGAACATCGGAAGGTTAGGTAAAGTCTTTTGTTTTCTGCATGTAGTTTATCCTAATTTACATTGAAATACATCACGTTTCAGCAAAACTACTATTTATTTCTGAGAATATGGAAATGTAATATTTTTGCTGAAATGACGTACGTATTATAGTGGAAAGTGGGATAAAATCGTGACAAAAACAATGACTCGCTTTCTTTCGTTCACAAGATGTTACCGTAATCGCCTTTTGAATGGTTTTCAGTTAAAAACTGTTATATTACAATAATATTCTATCCTAATTCACTTGTGATGTAAAAGTTTTTTAACTGAAAACGATTCGAAAAACACGTGTACCGTCTAGCTGATACGGCAGAGCCCTGGTCGTGGAGGCTTTGTGTTTGCATCGGCCCTTCTTAAGCAGCTTTTAATTTTAGCGTACGTTGAAATTGTGTTTACCGGTGTATTCTTATTTTCCAGAAATATGACAAGTTTTTATATAATACAATGTTACGGTACTTTTAATTTACAAGTATTCATTTTTAAAAATACAGAAGACACCAAACAAATACTAGTACGGATATTTGCGTGACTCTCCCGCCAAAAAAGACCAAACAGCTGGTACTCTCTCCCTCAGCCCTACCAAAAATAGCCCAACATCTTTCTTGTTTATTCTTTTCCAATTTCTCACTTTAACTGGTATTTTTTACTTCATATTGCCTACATCAGATAAACTACAGTAATTGAGGTTAGATATTGTTATAAATTTGATTACCGGGTCCTGGCAGGTACCGTTAGAACCACCTGACCCTACCAACAGTGTTGCAAGTCAGACAGCATTTTTTTTTTTTACATTTTTGGTGTCTCCATTTGTTAATTTTTTTTCTGTGGGGTTTGCACAATAGTATACTGTTTTACCTACAGTATTGTAAAACGATTTGGGAAAAGAAATACTCGGTAACTTAAAATTTTAAAAGGAAAATTTTGAAACTGGCAACTGTGTGTAGATGACCTGACTCACATCATATTGATGTTTCAAATTTAATTAACAAAAATTTATGTATCTATAAATAAACTTTTAAAAATGAATACTTTATGTTTTACATACTCCTGTGCATACCATACCATGCATTTGGCTACTTTGGGCTTGCTATGATGACGCAAGAGATCTGCCCTGGCAACTGTACCGACACTCACAGCGGGTGGTGCGTTGGTGCATCGTTTCCATTGTTTACTGGTAGTTACTGGTAAATTTTTTTCAACCTAACGAAACTATTACCCGTATAGAGGTCGACCCCCAACTTTTTGCCCAAAAATTTGGTCTTAAGAACTCGTGCTATACACGGGTATATATATATATATATATATATATATATATATATATATATATATATATATATATATATATATATATATATATATATATATATATATATATATATATATATATATATATATATATATATATATTCTATATATGTGGTTATCAGCATACCTAGATCACGCGCACCTACAGTGATTTACTTGCATATATATATATATATATATATATATATATATATATATATATATATATATATATATATATATATATATATATATATATATATATATATATATATATATATATATACACACTAGAACTCTTAAATCACTACTGTAATGTGATACAGGTGATTAATTTTATCTCTTATGCAAAATTTATGATGTTTATATTCAAATTATTTGCTGTCTTGCAAGGATTCCAGCAATGCAAATTATATTCTCCTAATTTTAGTCTGAGATATTATATAAGATACAAACTTAAAAGCCTATTGAAAACACCAAACCTTTGTTGAGAAGGTGGGGTGGGGTGGGGGGGGGGGAGGGAGGGAGGGCGCAAGCTTGGGAAGAGGGGGGAGCGGGAGGTGAGGTTTACTGTGATAGTTAGGACCATATGCAAGATTAGCCGTGGTGTATACCATGCTGTAGTACTCCCATGGTTGTTATGCAAGAAGCGTTTTTGGCTAAAAAAAAGAAAAATATGTACGATTTGTTATCGGAACATGGGGAAATTTCGTGGTCCGATGATCACTACGAGGGAACTATTTTTGAAACCAAAAGAAAGAAAATTGATTTGGATGGACATTAAATGCATAAATCTGCAAAGGAATAATATTTATTATACGATATACTCCATATAGAACAGCACATGCAGAATTGTATTGTTGTTTTTAAAAGCAGTCCGTGTTTGTGTACGAAAAATGCCGCCAGCCTCTACTTGTCTCATCGCCGTTTATATCCTCCAAATTCGCCTAACCAACTAATTTATGTGTAGAAATGTACTGAAATCAAATTAAACTAAAAAAAAGTCGTAAATGGTCTATTTGAAGAGTGGTGAGAACAGCTTCCTCTGGGATGGTGAATGGCGTCCTTTGTCAGAATTAATATCGACCCAATTTTCGTAATGAGGGCAATTAATAACAGTCCAGCACTACCAAAATAATTATTTCCTTAGTATAATTACTTATTAGCCTAGATTTCATATTTTAATAAGTCCAAATATGCCAGGTAACTAGTGCTAGGTACTTCCCAGGCATGTTTCATTTGTGTATCAGTTTAACCACAAATTGCTACTAATAAGATAAATTCAGTGATCTAAATTCATGTTTTATTTTTTTATTCCCTTAGTGACTCAATGTATTACAAGAAAGAACTACTTTACGACTTGTTTGGGCCAACAGTTGGAGTGGTGATATTAATTAACTTTGCCATTGACAGTATGTCCATGATTTCAAAAAAAATTAATAAGTCCTTCTAAAGTAAATAGAATTGATGATATTATTATCTTTTTGGCCATCCAGCGAATTTAATGATTTTAAGTTGACCGATTTTTACCAGTTAAGTTAGGTTATGTTAGATTAGTTAAGTTGGGTTAGGTTAGGTTTGGTGACATTGAAATTATGTTTTTTCAAATGCCAAGTAGGTGGATGACCTAAACATTCATTTTTTACCAAATTGATTATGAGTAGATCAAAAACATTAGTCTTGTTTTTTTACAAATTCAGACTCCGTAAAGTTCAAATGACAATCACTTCATGATAGATGTTTCACCCTATACAGTAAAGCTACTTTATGTAAGAGGAAAAAATTAGCACCAAATTGTATTGTTTATTACCAAAAGAAGTCATTGATGATAATATTTAATAACAATATTTCAGGTATTACGACCTGGTCGTCGGGACGGAACACCGTCGTAAGTCGAGGAGAGACTGTACAGTAATACATTTTCATCTTTAAACTCCTTGATGCTCCACTCAATTATAGCTAGATGTAATAATTGTAGAAAGTAATCACAGGTATGACTCCCTTTACCTTTAATTGTTTTTATATTACAATTCTTGGATAATCAGAGATAATGAAATTATGAATCTTCAATAAATGTGATATACGTACATTCTAATGATGACAACAGAAATATGTCAGACTTGACTAATTAACTGTAACCAGAAATTAACCTAAGTGAATTTGTCCATAATCCAACCTTTAAAATATGAAAGACAGCATACTTTATTTTATGATAGTTAAGTCAGTTTCCAGTTAGGTTAAGTTAGGAAGGTTAGGTTAACATTTTTATATAGATCTATAAAATATTTTAAAGGGGTTATAATTTTTGTTCTATGAATTTCTCCAAAAAAAAAAGGGATCAAAGTTTTGGAATCACCATAACAATATACACTACAGT